CAACTTCAAAAAAAAAAAAAAAAAAAAGGCGATGGCCTTGAGGTATTAATACTGTATTATTGCCTGACTAACCAACCCAGGTGCATTGAATCTTGCGTCTAATCTTGACACCGGGTGGCCTTTTCAGCCCAGGGTGGGGTGGCCTTATTTTTTTTCAGGGAATCCCCAATGTCAGGGGGGAACAGCCGGTAGCAGAGGGACCGAGCATCATCTGAGTGGCTACGGTAGTCGCTGTGCCTCCCCGAGTGCCCCTGACCCCCCTACGAACATCAGCAGAGACTGCAACTTCTGCCTCAGGGTCACATCGAAATTCTTTGTACCAAATTTAAAATAAAAAATCAAATGTAAAAATATTTTTTTTTACTATTGTTATCTTTTTTTTACATTTGTTTGGTGAGAGGGTTACTGGTGGTTGGCAGGAACGAACATGAACATCCGCATTTTTTTTTTTTTTTTGGATTTTAAAATTTTAAAAAATGATGTTGTCTGTTGACTTAATACATGCAAATCACAGTCTTTCCCAAAAAAAATAAATAAATAAATAAATCACAGTCATGGTTAAACCACCAGTACCTTCCAAAGGCTTCCTCCGAACCAATACTTTTGAAACCACCGAACCTCTTCGTTTCCTGTTGATGCAGCTGGTGAAAAGGAAAGATACAGTGGCAGGCCGGTCCTTCAATGCGGGGACCGGTTCTCTAACATAGAGTGGTTCTTTTTTTTTTTTTTTTTTTTTTTTTATTTTTTTGGGGGGGGGTTGGCCGGATTCTTCTTTTTTTCGTTTTCTGTTCATCTTTTTTTTTTTCCCCCGACTTTTTGGCAATTCCCTATGCACGACTGCTACTATGAGAAAGGGTCCTCACTCAACCAGTCAGCACCAGCACAGAAGGGGACAACCACGGCAAAGAACGCTCGTTTTCTTGCAGTACCACGGGCCATGCCATGCACAGCAAACAAAAATGTTGGCAGTGTATCTTTCCATGTTCTTGTAGAAGGTTCAGTCACAATTGCACGTGGTGAGTGGTACCACAAGGCCATTTCTCAATTTATGTGTGGCATCCTTAGATTCCTTACTTAGGGCCATGCTGATGTTCTATGTACTGGGTCATCTACCAGCTGAATATTCATGCCCTTTTTTGTTGGGGGGGGGGAATAGTAAGGCAGCAAGGGCCGCTCGACGAGCAGTCTCCCTGCTGCAGACCTGCACAAACGACAAAACGTATCTTTTTTTTTTTTTTTTTTTTTTTCAAAGGCTACTTGTACCTTTCCCGTGTGGGATAATAGGGAAAACTGGCTACTCCTGAAAATTCGGAGGCCGGGCCCGACGACAAACGAAACGACAGCCGCCGATCAGATTTATCAATGGCAGTCGTTTCGTTTGTCGTCGGGCCCGGCCTCCGAATTTTCAGGAGTAGCCAGTTTTCCCTATTTTCCCACGCGGGAAAGGTACTAGTGGCAACCAATTCAATTACCTGTCAAATCTGGACAGGACGGCCTTTCAGGCCTTTTTTATTGTCATTATAGTACTACGGGGAACCCCATAGCAGCCACATCCGTGCTCAAGCCTCCAACGAGGGAACATGCGGGAGCTGCACCCACCAGCAGGTGCCATACTTGCTACAGCAGGTCGGCGATACCGGCCAGGGGTAAGCCGGTAGCATCAGGACCGAGCTTTTTCGATGGGCCAGTCACTGTGCCTCCCCTCCGGTCCCCTCCCCCTATGAACATCAGCAGTCTCTGCTCAATGCCACTCGGGGGGACCAACGGCATATCTGTAGGTGGCGGGCGCCAAGCTTGCCCAGGAAGGTACATGAGGCCAATGGGGATTGAACCCACGACCTCCTGAATGCCACTTGCGTGCCTTACCAACTGAGCTAGGCCGCTGGATACAAAACGTATCC